CGGGGGGGGGGGAGAGCGTCGTCAATGCCGCCCCTCTCTGCCAGGGCCAATGGAGAGCTGGACTTGGGACGAGAGATGCGGGTGCCAGGGAGGTTGAGGAGTCGAGGGGTACGTTTCCAGGATGGGGGGGGCGAGCGGTCGACGTCGCCTGGCGGGAGCGGCGACGCTCCCGCCCACCGCTTCGGGCTTGTATCCCTGCAGGACGAGGCAACGTTTCTGTCGACTCTCACCACTCGCAGCGTCGTCGATGGGGGGGAAAAGGAGATTCCGAGTTCAGCCGGTGGACGTGATGGAGCAGAGCCGGGGGGGGGAGAGCGGGGGGGCACGAAAACAGAAGGACTGCGTGAAGAAGTCCCATTTGCGTGCGCCACCTTGCTTGCCTCCCGCGAGGACATTGATCGCGCGATGAGGGATTTAGATCCCCCGGAAGTGGCACCGGACTTGCCACATTGCTATGCTAGTGATCTCAGAGTACTCAAGACATTTAGGGAGGCTATGAATTCTGACTATGGACACTTATGGGAGGATTCGGTCGATCGCGAGTTTAAGGGCCTGATGGAGGCCGGCACTTTCGAGTCAGTTTCTTAGCAACCAGGGAGCGCTATCAAGGCCAAATGGGTTTTTGAGTGGAAGGCTGATGAGTATGGATGGCCAACCACGGTGAAATCAAGGCTAGTAGCGAGAGGCGATATGCAGCAAGCACATGTTGATTGTGGGGAAAAGTATACACCGACTGTAGCGGTTTATAGTATTCGTCTGTTAGCTGCAATGGCGTGTGAGCAAAAATTTTCCCTCTGTCATTTTGACATCAAGCAAGCATTCGTACAGTCGGATTTGGATGAGGATGTTTTCGTGCGTCTGCCAGAGGGCTGTGGTAGATTGATTGTCTGGTAAGGTAGTGAGGTTGAACAAGAGTTCGTACTGTCTGAAGCAGGCGTCGAGACAATGGCATTCGCACTTGGGGAAGTGTTTGATTTGTTTGCGTTTTATTCAGTGCATGGCGGGTACGTGCGTGTTTCGGTTGATTGAGGAGGGAAGAATGGTAGTGACTCTGGTGGTACATGTAGATGATATGTTTTCGCAAGGAGAGGAGGAGAGGTATGACCGGTTTGGCAGAGATCTCAACACCATGGGTACCCGTGAAGAATCTTGGGGACTTGAGATGGTATTCAGGGTGCTTTTATGAGAGAGATTGGGAGGCAGGAACACTGAAGATCTCGAAGCAGACGCACGCCGAAGAGTTGGGGTTGGCGTTCGGAGTGGAGCATGGAAAAGAGATACCTCTTCCGGTAGGGATGAAGCTTTCTGAGTTTGATCAAGGTGAGGAAGCAGTGCCGTGGCCTTTTCGTGAGCTGACAGGGTCGTTGATGTGGCTTGCAACGCCAACGAGCCCAGACATTGCGAATGCTGTAACGGTGGCTAGGTATTGTGCATCTCCCAAAAACATTCATTGGAGAGCAGGTCTTGGTATCGTGGGGTATGTGGTAAGGACTAGTGACTTGGGTATTACATTTCGGAGGGGCAGTGCAGAAGGGTTGAGAATGCAGGTTTTCGCCGATGCAGACTACGCGAGTAAGGCAGCTGATAGGAGGTCTGTGTCAGGGGATTTGGTGATGAGTGGAGGGGGGGGTGTACTCATAGTCGTGCATGCCGTAGTCGTTAGACCATTTGACCTCGCATCCCTACAAAGCCGGGACGGAGCACGCCGGGTTCTCACCGGACCAGGCTCTCACATCACCAAGCGCGAAGCGCCGTGAGATATTCGGCGAGTCGCATGAAGGGTGCGCTGCATCCTGCTAAGGGTGTTCGGCATCTTGTGCTTACTTCCTTGCGTACGGATGACAGCTGCGTATGAATTAATTTATTTTCTGGTGCTTTCACTTCCAGAGACAGTTGTAAGCACTGTGTAACTGCCTCGAGGGTGCTTGACCATTTTAACACAACGTGGTGCGATCATCCCCCTTGCGCGGAGTGAGGGTTCTCCACCCCGCACAACATGATCTACTCGACCACCATTATGGTTACCGCCAAAAAAAAAAAACGGAGGAAAAAAAAAAAAACGGTAACCTGGTTGCCGAGTTCACGAAGTGAATTGGCTTGTTTTACAACGTCGTTGCCAAGCGACGAAAACCCAATCCCGATGGCAAACACCGGGGGGGGCGGCTTGTTTTACAACGTCGTTGCCAAGCGACGAAAACCCAACCCCGATGGCAAACACCGGGGGGGTCGGCTTGTTTTACAACGTCGTTGCCAAGCGACGAAAACCCACTCCCGATGGCAAACACCGGGAGGGGCGGCTTGTTTTACAACGTCGTTGCCAAGCGACGAAAACCCAACCCCGATGGTAAACACCCGGGGGGGGGGGGGGGGGGGGGGGGGGGGGGGGGGGGGGGGGGGGGGGGGGGGGGGGGGGGGGGGGGGGGGGGGGGGGGGGGGGGGGGGGGGGGGAGGGGGGTGCATATTTTGGTTCTCGAGGACGCAGAAGTGTGTGGCGTTGAGCACTACAGAAGCGGAGTATGTCTCTCTTACGGATGTGCTGAGGAGGTATTGTTCCTGAGGCAGAGGTGTGGCGTTGTTTGTTGCCAGATGCGGGTATGCCGCGCATCCCGGTGTATGTGGATAACCAGGGGGCTATTCAGTTGGTGCAGAATCCGATTTGCAACAGCAATTCAAAGCACATTGACGTAAGGCACCACTTTATCAGGGAGCTTGTAGGGAGGAAGGAGATATCAATTTTCCACGTAGGGTCAGCGTACCAACATGCCGACTTTCTCACAAAGGCGGTCCACGTGGGAAATTTTGAGTTTCATCGTAATTTCGTGATAAGTATGGGACAGGAACGGTAGATTTGGATTTATTTTTGTTTGATCAAACAACTAGGGTGGCAATGTTTTACATTTTTGCCTACGGCTTTTTCAATGAATGGTGTGCTAGGCTGGGGGGCTATTGTATCGCTATGATTATCGAAGAACTACAACTGGAATGATCGGGGATAGGAATATATTTATTTCTAGCCTTGAAGGTTATTATTGCAGATTTGAATTGTGTTTTGGAGTTTATTTTCTTGTGTTTTGATCACTGAAAGGTCATGAAGAAGACATGGCATAGTCACAAGCACGGGGCTGAAAGATATACTTGTAGCAATGCCAAGTGGTTGGTACGGGATGTTCCCATGGAATGAGGTAGAGCGGAATACCGTACCAAAAACAAAACGTAGCGGGACAGATCTACCTCGCATTCAGCCAATCAAATGCCTGCATTCTACCTCGCATCTACTTCGCATCAGTTCAAAAATCGCTTGGGAAGCGAGACACACAAAACTTTGCTATAATCCCGCCGCAAAAAACCCTGAAGCTCAACACACACACACTCTGGACGCGCTGGCTGCTCGGCTCGCATCCTACTGCCTCCACACTTGAGACATGTCATCGGAGAAGCCCAGTAGAGGCCCAGGCCGACCCGTTGGGTCGACCACGAAGAACCCTAATGCGAGAAAAACCGGACCAAAAGTAGGCTTGGGGCCGCCCGTGATGGCCAACCCATGGGCAAGACAGGCGCCTCCAGCAGCGGAGACAAGACAGGCGCCTCCAGCAGCGGAGGAAGGAGCTCACGGTGGGAGTGCCCAGGCTATCAACCTTGCGGTAGGTGCGGTGGGTGCGCCTGAGTCGGCAGGAACAGCAGAAGGTGGTGTTTCACCAACGGTTGCC